CTCTCAGCCAACCAATAGAAGTAATGCTTTCCGTCGCCGATATCTAAATAACCGGAATATTGTTTGAAATTAATTGGATCCGAAAGACCCGGAAGACTCTTAATCTCGTCTTCATTTGCAGCAAATATTAACAATAAATGAAAGGTTAATGTAATAAAAATCAAAGAAAGTTTATTGGAAATCATGTTTTAGTTGTGAATTGAATAAAACAATTAATACTTAAAAAACTAATTATAAGAATTTTTATAAAATTATTTTCTACTTTACAAATAAAAATTAAATCTAATCATTCAAATCCAATGTTGTTTGTTTTATTTTATTATGATAACAGCATTTATCAAAATAATTAAGTGTTAATAATTTATTGTAGATTGATTAAACTAATCTAGTAATTAAAATTTTTATAATGAGATTACTAATGGTATTAAGTATTATATATTAGATATTCACTTTGAATTATTAATATTATGGTAAAATAAAAGATTATTAATGAAATAAGTATATAAATTAAATATTCATCTCGGTTTATACTTTATCGTAGGTGAGATAACAATTTGATTTGCTAATTTAAGCAAAGTATGTAATCACAAATGTTTTTATGCTAATGATGCAAGTTTTTTAGATTATATTTGTTAATTGTTAATTTTATTTTAAAAAATAACTATAGTTTTATCATGGTTAATTTAAGAATTTGAGAAATTTATTTAGAATATGATTATTGTAATTTAAAATATTTTTTAATTCAATAATTTAAAAGCCATTTCCGATTACATTCTTTATTAACTGCAGTGCGGACTCGGGTTTGTCGTGTGGGACCATATGTCCGGCCCCGCGAACCAACACAAAGCTTAGGTTCTTCTCGTATTTTTGGGCAAAACCAGCCAAAGTTCCGTCAGATGTTCGCCAACCACTGTATAGATAGATATTTAGTAATTAATTTATACATAAATAAAATAATAATAATTGATACAAACCTATATTCTCCAATTTTCTTAAACTTAAGACTGTCGACAAACCGTTGATTATCAATGAAATCGCAAACGGTGTCAAAGTTACCATTGAAAATGACCAGTTTTTCAATATGGTATTTATCAATCAAATCAAGTATAATCGGTCGCTGATCGGTGTCTCGTCCAGAGTAAGAGCCGCCGCAGTCGTACCAATGGTGAGTGTCTTCAGGCCTGACGTGCAATGCGTTACGAACTTCGGGAATATTAATCCATTTATCGTATCCAACCGGAGGACAAACTAAGTTACGCTCTTCACTGATGGCCACAGTGTTGGCCCGCTTTGCGAAGTATTTGTTATAAAGCCTCAAATAAGCGACATCTGCACCACAATCATCGTATTGGTTGTATGGGTTGGGATTATAAACTTCTTCGAGTCGAACCGAATTGCATTTACTAACATATATGTAAATAATTATTATAACAATTATTGCAAAGAACTTAATAAAAATTAGAAGTATGTACATGATAATAAAATTATGAAATATTGATTGAGTTTAAAGTAACTTTGAAAATAGTATTACCATATTTTAAAAATACATTGTAAAATATACATCGTGGTAACAAATTTTAAATAAATTTTAAATAATAGGGTATAATGAATAATATAACTTACGTGCTGTTTGCTGGATGATAGAAATCGCATTCATGTCTCACATCTCCGGTCTTACATTCACAGCAATTCTCAATCTTTTTGGTGTAAGACTCGACGGTAACCCATCCGTGAGACAAACTCAAGTCAACGGTAGACATGTCAGTGAGTGGTGCCGGTCCTAACACTCCGTTCCCAATCGCTACACCTGTTTAGCATAATTTATTCATTGTTAGTTCAATAATATACTACAATTAATATTTTAATGTAAAAATGTCAAAACCATACCTTTCAAATTGATAGTCGAATTGTTGCTAAATATTTCGTGCGCTAACATTGGTATATAAATGCCGGCATAACTCTCGCCGGTTATGTAAAACGGGTTCTTCTTAAGGTTTGGGTATTTCTTGAAAAAAGCTTCGAGAGCTAAATGATTGTCAACTGCTGTCGACTTATCGTTATTGTGGTATTGTTTGTCTTCTTTATAACTGAAGCCGACACTAACGGGTGATTCAAAGTAAACCATATTTGCCACTGAATTCCAAGAGCTTGGGTTCAATGCCAATGTCTTTCCGTCTGGATTGACTCGAAAGGGTCCGTTCTCTCCCAGGTTTCCAAACAGTGAACTACAACCGGGCCCTCCATTCAACCACAACACTACCGGTGCGCTCTCTGGCGCCGTCTGACTCTCAGTCAACCAATAGAAGTAATGCTTTCCGTCGCCGATATCTAAATAACCGGAATATTGTTTGAAATTTATTGGATCCAAAAGACCCGGAAGATTCTTAATCTCATCTGTATTTTCGGCAAATACTACACATAAGTGTAGTATAAATGCAATACAAATATTTAATTTAAACATTTTTTAAGTGAAATTTTCTTTATAAAAATTTATATATAAATAAATGATATTTCTTTAAATACCAATTAATTCAATGCCAAAACATGTGACAATTATTATAATCACAATTATCTGTATTTTGTGTCTCAATTGATATTATGTTTTATTATAAACACTTAAAAATATTGAATGATTAGTCTTTAGGAGACCTTTTATGAAGTATACCTTAAAGTTCGTAGAATTGCTTTAATTTATTTATTATCTTATAAGCGAACAGATAATGAAATAAAATACACTATTTTGTCTTAAACATGAAATAATTGAAACAATATATTATAGTTAAATCTTACCATATTCTTAAACTTGTGAAGTGAGCCTCGGCTTTATGGTGAAGGGAAGGGCCATATATCTGGTTTTGCGAATCAACACAAAGCAATAGACCTCACATTCATAGCAATTCTCAATTTTCAAAGTAATTAGTGATAACCAATTCGTGGCCTAATCTTATGTCAGTACTGTGTTGACCACAAAGTATTCATGGTCAAACACTGTCAACAAGAATCTGAAACTGTTTTATAACTTTGTCTATCAATATTAAATGTCAAACATGTGATTGCAATTATGTTTTTAATAAAACTTAAATGATTAGTCTACTGGAGTCCAATTCAAATATGTACCTAAATTTCATGGAAGTGTATCACTATTTATATTTATTGTATCATAAAATTATTGATATTTCAAACAAAATTTTCTACTTTTATGTGAAACAAATTGATATTAATTATGATAAAATTACTGTTAAAGTACAATATAATATAATGACATTATAATCACAATTGTAATGCTTTAAATGTAAATATGACATGATTGAACATGTTAAAGGCAATGTTCTCAAATACTTATATTTTTATTTTCAGAACATATAAACCTAAAAATGTCAATTTACCTTGGCTAAATTTCCAATCAACTCTAATCAAAACTTAATAGTATATTTTATCAGTTGTTTAACAAGAAATTAGAATATCAGACAAATTGTGAATTTGGAAAAGTGGTTTGAAATTAGTTTTATATAATATATTACATAAGACATAATATTTAATTCAAATTACCAAAATTATTTTATTCAAATACGTGTAAAGCGGTTATTGATTTATATTTCATCATTATTTTATTAAAGCATTTTTAAAAATAAAACTTTTATTAGATATTTAGTAGAATATTTCAATATATAATGAAATACAATGCATTCCGATTAGTCTTAAAACTGTGAATTTCCGATTACATTCTTAAGCATCTGAAGTGCGGCCTCGGGTTTGTCGTGAGGAACCATATGTCCGGCCCCGCGAACCAACACAAAGCTCAGGTTCTTCTCGTAGTGTTGGACATAACCGCCGGCGAATCCGTCCGGAGTTTTCCACGAACTAATTTCATAAGTGTTTTTGTTATAAATCTAATACTAATTAATAAATTATTCAATGCATACCTATAGTGACCAACTTTTTTCAGATTTAATCTATCAATAAAGCGTTGATTCGCGATGTGATCGCAAACTGTATCAAAGTTTCCGTTAAATATAACGAGTTTTTCAATTTTATAGACGTCTAACAATTCAGTGACAGTCGACTGTTGGTCGCGACCAAAATCGTTGTAATCTCCGCCGCAATCACTCCATGTGTGAGTGTCTTCAGGCCTTACGTGCAATGCTTTGCGGACTTCCGGTACATTAAGCCATTCAGTGTATCCATTGTGTGGACACTTTTCATTGTCATTAGCATTGAGTTTCATCGGCGGTCTATTGAGTGCTTTGGCGTAATGTTTGTTATAGATGTGGACGTAAGCGGCGGACGGATCGCAGTCATCGTACATGTTATATGGATTAGGACCGCTCGCAAACTGAACGTCTACTGAATTACATTTTCTAAAAGGAATTATAAAATAATGATTAATTTAATTAATTATGTCTCCAAAAGTTTGTCATTTTAATTATAATAATTAAAATAACTAATAAAATAGTTGGTCATACGTTTTATTAGGTGGCTTGGTAAAATCGTATGCGTGCATCACTTCTCCAGTCTTACACTCACAACAGTTTTCAATGAGATTCTCATAGGACTCAGTGGTAAGCATTCCGTGACCAACACTTAGATCATAGCTATGCTGTCCGTCCAATGTTTCTAAATCTAAGTACCCGTTGCCTATCAATACGCCTATAATATAAACATATAGATTAACAAATGGTTTAATCTACATTACTTACTGTATAAATCTTAATACATTTATATAAATTATAATACCTTTTAGATTAATTGTGGATTTGGTTTTGAATATCTGTTGCGCTAACATTGGTATATAAATTCCGGCATAACTTTCGCCAGAAATATAAAATGGATTTTTCTTTAGATCCGGAAATTTCTTGAAAAACGCTTCGAGAGCTAAATGATTGTCAACTGCTGTCGACTGATCCGTATTGTTATACTTCTTGTCCTCTTTATAACTGAAGCCGACACTAACGGGTGATTCAAAGTAAACCACATTCGCCACTGAATTCCAAGAGCTCGGGTTTAATGTCAATGTCTTTCCGTCTGAATTGACTCGAAAGGGTCCGTTCTCTCCCAGGTTTCCAAACAGTGAACTACAACCGGGCCCTCCATTCAACCACAACACTACCGGTGCGCTCTCCGGCGCCGTCTGACTCTCAGCCAACCAATAGAAGTAATGCTTTCCGTCGCCGATATCTAAATAACCGGAATATTGTTTGAAATTAATTGGATCCGAAAGACCCGGAAGACTCTTAATCTCGTCTTCATTTGCAGCAAATACTACACAGAAGTATAGTATAAATGCTATACAAATATTGTTAATATTT